CCTCCTCCTCCTCCTCCTCCTCCTCCTCCTCCTCCTCCTCCTCCTCCTCCTCCTCATTCGACCCTCCCTCAACCCGAAGGAAGCCGCCCGAGGTGGACGGGGACGGCGAGCCGGAGTGGACGCCGTCGCCTCAGGCGCGCCGCGGGTGTGCCCGCGGCGGGTCGGGGAGTGGTGCCCCCCACCCCCCTTCCCTCCCGCGGAGGGGCCAGGCTGTGGCGCGCACTGCCTGCTTGGTCCTCCTCCTCCTGTCTCCTCCTCCCTCCTCTCTTCCTCCTCCTCCTCCCTCCTCCTCCTCCTCCCCTCCTCCTCCTTCTCCTTCCCTCCTCTTCTTCCTCCTCCTCCTCCTCCTCCCTCCTCCTCCACCTCCTCCTCCTCTCTCCTCCTCCCTCCTCCTCCTCCTCCTCCTCCACCTCCCCCTCTCCTCCTCCTCCTCCTCCTCCTCTCCTCTCCTCCTTCTCCTCCTCCTCCTCCTCCTCCTCCTCCTCCTCTGCCTCCTCCTCTCCTCTCTTCTCCTCCTCTCCTCCTCCTCCTCCTCCTCCTCCTCCTCCTTCTCCTCCTCCTCCTCCTCCTCCTTCCCCTCCTCCTCCTCCTCGTCGTCGTCCTCCACCTCCTCCTCCTGCTTCTTCTCCTCCTCCTTCTCCTCCTCCTTCTCCTTCTCCTCCTCCTTCTCTCCTCCTCCTCCTCCGAAGTCGCGCACTGCCGCCTGCCGTGCCCGTGCTCAGGGAATGAAAAGGTGCACATACTTCTACCACCTCGCCCGTTTCCCCCTCGTCGCCACCGCGGGATTCGCCTGGGAGTCCTGGTCAGACCGCGCCCCGGGAGAGGCCCCGGGGGTAGCGGTATCGGTGTCTTTCGGCTTCCCCACGTTCTTCCCGGACCTCCTGGCCCTCTTGGTCCTGCCCTCCTCTTGCTGCGCAGCGCCGAGCGCATCCGTGCCGATCTTTTGCAGAGGTTTTTCTCACGGATGGAGGGCGGCTCGTTCTCAACTTGTGGTTCTCCCCGCGGCGCCGCGCGCATTTGTCTCAGCAGATTGCAGCAGTTTCAGAAGGATTGAGCTCCAGTCGTTTTCGAAATGGGGTTCTCGCTCTAGCGCCGCGCACATTTCTGCAATCATATTGCAATCGTGTGCAGTACTGAGCGCTGGCCATATTATACATGGGTTTCTCGCCTCAGCGCCACTCGCATTTGTTATCGAATGCTCGGCGCTTGCAGAGATAAGAGCATTTTTTTGTCCGAATGGTGTTCTCCCTGGAGACGTCGCCAAGTTTACAGACCCGATGCTTCAACTCATGTGGTGCTGCAAGGGCCCATGGCGGGTCTTTTTCAACATGGAGCCGTCGCTTGAGACTTCCTCAAAGCTCATCACCACAAGTGTAAGCTTGTGTGGCAGTTGCACGGGTTTGTGGGCAGCCGTCTTCCGAAAGGGGATCTCGCGTTCTTGATTGCGCGCCAGAAAGAGGCGAGGCACGTCGATTTCAAGACGAGGCCCTCGCCCAAATGCCAGGTCCAACTGGGGTGTTTCTTTGCGGGGGACGCCTCTTGTTGTGAAGAGGAACTTGTTGGGACGTCTGAAGAGGGAACTTGGCACGTGAGGGTGTCTTGTAGCATCTCTGATGCATTCTTGGTTCACTTTTGTCATCCTTCTCCTCCTTCCCTGCCTCCCTCCCTCCCACCTCCTGTTCCTTCCGTCTCTTCCCTCCTCCCTCTTCCCCCTCCTCCTCCCTCCTCCTCTTTCCCCCTCCTCCTCCTCCACCTCCTCCTCCTCCTCCTCCTCCTCCTCTTCTTCCTCCCTCATGCCACTCTTCTCCTCCTCCTCCTCAGTCTCCATTATCCTCCCTCCTCTCTTCTTCCCTCCCTCCCTCCCTCCCTAACTTCCTCCCACCATCCTTCCTCCCTCCGATCCCGCTCGAGGGGCATGGGGGGGAGGGGGAAGAGTTCGAGCTTCAAGGTTCGAGGACCACCCTCGGGCCTCCAGAATCCTCCGCAGGCGCGATGGAGACAGCCTTGAGCCGTTTGTGCTTAGGGGGGGGGGGAGGGAGGGTGGGAGGGAGGGAAGCAGGGAGGAGGGGAGGAGGAGGAGACGGTGGTGATAGATGGGAGGAGGTGGAGGAGGAGGAGGAGGAGGGACGATAGTGAGGAGGTGGAGGATGAGGCGAAGGAGGAGGATGAGGAGGAGACAGAAGGGGGAGAACGATGAAGGATGATGGCGATGATGATGATGATGCTGCTGATGATGCTGCTGCTGATGATCATGACGATGACGATGATGATGATGCTGCTGCTGCTGCTGATGATGATGATGGCGATAGCGATACTGATGCTGCTGATGATGAGGATGATGACGGTGGTGGTGATGCTGATTAGGATGATGATGCTACTACTGATGATTATGCTGATGATGCTGCTGATGATGCTAATGCTACTGATGCGGATGAGACTGTTGATACTGATGATGCTGATGATGATGCTGATGATACTGATGATGATGACGATTATGATGATGATGATGCTGATGATGCTGGTGATGATGATGATGATGATGATGATGATGATGATGATGGTGATCATGATTATGATGATGATGCTGATGATGCTGATGCGGATGAAACTGAGGATGATGATGCTAATGCGGATGCTGCTGCTGATGGTGATGCTGATGCAGATGAGGAGTCTGCTGATGTTGATGATAAGTCTGATGATGACGATGATTATGTTGAGGATGCTGATGCTGATTATGATGATGCTAATGGTGGTGGTGCTGGTGACGGTGAGGATGCTGCTGAGGTGATGGTGATGGTGATGATGACGATGCTGATGCTGTCGATGATGATGCTGAGCATGATGATGATGATGACGATGATGATGATGATGATGATGATGATGATGATGATGATGATGATGATGATGATGATGATGATGGTAATGATGCTGCTGCCAGGCTGCTGCTGCTGCTGATGATGATGCTGATGATGATGCTGATGATGATGATGATGATGCTGATGATGGTGATGATGATGATGATGATGATGATGATGATGATGCTGATGATGATGATGATGATGATGATGATGATGATGATGACGATGATCTGCTGCTGCTGCTGAGGTGGAGGAGGAGGAGGAGGGAGGAGGAGGAGGAGGAGGAGGAGGAGGAGGAGGAGGAGGAGTAGGAGGGTCTGGAAGTTTCTGCGATCGGGAATTTTGGCTCAGCGTGTCGCGCCGCCGGTTCTGGCCCGCCATGCTGCGGCGCGGCACGCTAACCACGTCCCAATTCTTCACGCTTCGCGTATCCCCACCAGCCCATCTCAAAACAGCAACTCTTGCGAAGCATGCCGACAATCGTGTTTTTCAGGCGTGTGTCCGCTTGCCCCCGCATATCTCCCCTGTTCCTCCTTCCTCCCGCCTCCTTGTACATCCTCCTTGTGGTGGGAGCGGGAGAAGGACGAGGCGGAGGAGGAGGGAGAGAAAGCGGTGGGAGGCAAGAGGGATTTAGCGGAGACGACGACCACAACGATGATCCTAACAACGACGACGTACCCGACGACGACGTCGACGACGTCGACGACGACGACGACGAGAGGCCTCTTGGGAGCCTCCTGGGGGCATCTTGGGGCCTCTTGGGGGCTTCTTGCGACCTCCTCAGAAGCGCAAATGAGCGCTGCCCCCGGAGAAGGACAAAATGAGCCCAAAACCTTCGTAAAATCAATAATTTTGAGACTGTGGGCCATCTGGGGGCCTCTTCGGGCCATCTGGAGGACCTCTGGGGGCCCTCTTGGGGGGCTTGTATGAGCGCTGCCCCTCCTCCTGGTGTGACTCGATCGGGCTCCACGTGGTGTGAGTCGTTCGAGGCCCGCGTCGTGGTGTGAGTCGTTCGGGCTCTTCGTGGTGTGAGTCGGTCGGGCGCCTCGTCCTGGTATGAGTCGTTCGGGCCCCTCGTTGTGGTGTGAGTCGTTCGAGCTCTTCGTGGTGTGAGTCGTTCGGGCCCCTCGTCCTGGTGTGAGTCGTTCGGGCTCCTGGTGGGGCCTCTTGGGAGCCTCTTGGGGGCCTCTTGGGGCCTCTTGGGCGCCTCTTGGGAGACTCTTGGGGGCCTCTTGGGAGCCTCTTGGGGGCTCTGGGGGCCTCGTGGACGCGTCTGGGGTGCCTCTTGGGAGCCTCTGGAGGCCTCTTGGGGGCGGCTTGGGAGCCTCTTGGAGGCCTCTTGGGAGCCTCCTGGGGGCATCTTGGGGCCTCTTGGGGGCTTCTTGCGACCTCCTGAGAAGCGCAAATGAGCGCTACCCCCTCAGAAGGACAAAATGAGCCCCAAACCTTAGTGAAATCAATAATTTGGAGAACAAGGAGCAGCAGCGCTGGCCCCTCAGACGGCCAACATTGGGCCAAAACCGTAGTAAAATCAATGATTTTGGCTTCAGAGAAGAGGAGAGCATTTTTTCGTGGTCCCCCCGACGGGGCCAGAATCCTCGTAAGGGTCGTCGTTTTTTGGCCCTCCCAGGAGTCGAAAAAGACCCCTCTGACCACCCGCGGGACGACCTCTCCAGGCCCAGGGGGGGGGGTAGGGGGAGGGGTAAACCCCTCCCCGAAGGGGAAGAAGGGGGGTTGGGGGGTTGAGGACAGAGAGAGCTCTCTAAACCACTCACGCCCAAAGGGCTGGTGGGATTTCTAAGCGTCAGCGTCCCGAGCCTTTCCAGGCCCCCCTCACCGCGGAGTGGAGCGACACGCTATTGGGCTGCATGCAGGGCACATCGCGTCGCCGAGGCCGGCTCCGCGTGACGCGGGAAGCAGAAGCTCCTTCCAGTCGGGCATTGCTGAAGCTCTTCGCCACGGTGGGTCAGCCACGCGCAGCGCACCCATGAGAAATCTTAAGAATCTTTCTGCCGAAGTTTCCACATAGGGACTTGAAAGGCTTCGTGGGATCAATTTTTCGCATTCGCAATATGAGCGAAAGGCCCACGGGAGGGGCGAGCGACGACGGTTATGATGATGCTGCTGATGCTGATGCTGATGCTGATGATGATGATGATGATGATGATGATGATGATGATGATGATGATGATGATGATGATGATGATGATGGTGCTGCTGATGACGCTGATGATGCTGATGCTGCTGCTGATGATGATGCTGATGATGCTGATGCTGCTGATGCTGATGCTGAGTATGATGATGCTGATGAAGATGATGATGGTGACGGTACTGATGATGCTGATGATGATGCTGATGATGTTGTTGGTGTTGCTTGTGATGGTGATGATGCTGATACTGATGCTGCTGATGATGATGCTGATGCTGCTGATGATGATGACGCGGATAATGATGATGGTGACGATGGTGATGATGATGATGATGATGATGATGATGATGACGATGCTGCTGATGATGATGACGATGCTGATGATGATGATGCTGATGAGGATGAGGATAATGATGATGATGATGATGATGATGCTGATGCTGATGATGATGAGGATAATGATGATGGTGATGATGATGCTGATGATGATGATGATGATGATGATGATGATGATGATGATGATGAGGATGATAATGGGGGAGTGCGATGATGCAGGCGGTACATGGTGCTGGTGCTTTTCACGCGCGTGTGTCCGAAACGGAGAGCTACGCGATCTGAACAGTTTCACCTCCAGGACTCCATCCGAGGTTTGCGCGTGTCATGGCGGCCCGATACCCTCCTCGCTCTGGTGGGGCCTCCTTGGAGGGGTGGTAGGGGCACGAAGCCGTGTAAATTGTATGGCATCCCGATGCCCTCCTCGCTCTGGCGGGACTTCCCTGGAGGGGTGGTAGGGTGCGTCCCCGGCAGTGCCGCAGTGCCCGGCACCGCCCGTGATGTGCTCGCGGCGGCGAGCGCCGCCGCCCCGCGGCCCCCGAGGACTCCTTCGACGGCCGCCTGTCGTTCTTTGCCGGCTCGTGGTGGGACGACGGCGCGGCCGCGCCCCCTCCCCCCTGCGAGCCGGGCGCTGCGAGCGCGCCCAGGGGCGCTCTCGCCGTGCTCGGCCTCGTCGCCGCCGCGGCCTCGCCGCCGCCGCAGTCTCGCCGCCTCTCGCGGCCGCCGCCGTCGCTGTCGCCGCCGTCGCCGCCGCGGCCGTCCTCCCGTTCTACTCCCTCCGCCCTCCCCCTCCCCCCTCCCCTCGCCTCCCCACCCTCCCTCCCTCTCTCTCTCTCTCTCCCTGTCCCCCGGGGCAATATGGCAAGCCAGGGTGCTGGGCCCATAATTACTCTCGGGGCCTCCAGCAGACCAGTCTGTACAGCGGTCTCACAGCATTCTATACAATAAATGATGGCGAACGAGGGACATGCTTGCTGCAGTCGACTACCCCCTCTGCTGAGAAATACTGCTGGCGCAGTTTCCGTTGGGGGGTAAGGACTTCTCTCTCTCTCTCTCTCCCTCTCTCTCTCTCTCTCCCCTCCCTCTCTCCTTGGCATCGTTCAGACAGGTGCGTTTTTTTCTTGCCGAGGACCATCGAGGAACATTTTGTTCACCTGGGACGGGTAATCCAAACCGTGAGTAGCTTTTCGCTTGACCGTAAGCGGATTTTCGCTTAACCGTGAGTGATTGAGTGCACGCTGTCAGCCCACGCTGTGAGCTCACGCTGTTGTGAGCCCACGCTGTGGTGAGCCCACGCTGTGAGCCCACGCTGTGAGCCCACGCGAGTGCACGCTTTGGTGAGCCCACGCTGTGAGCCCACGCTGTGAGCCCACGCTGTGAGCCCACGCTGTGAGCCCACGCTGTGAGTGCACGCTGTGAGTGCACGATCTGAGTGCACGCTGTGAGTGCACGCTGTGAGTGCACGCTGCGAGTGCACGCTGTGAGTGCACGCTGTGAGCGCACGCTGTGAGCGCACGCTGCGCGCCACCTGGTGAGAAAGACCGTGAGCCCACGCTGTGAGTGCACGCTGTGGGCCCACGGTGTGAGCCCACGCTGTGAGCCCACGCTGTGGGCCCACGCTGTGAGCCTACGCTGTGAGCCCACGCTGAGAGCCCACGCTGAGAGCCCACGCTATGAGCCCACGCTGTGGTGAGTGCACGCTGTGAGTGCACGCTGTTGTGAGTGCACGCTGTGAATGCACGCTGTGGTGAGTGCACGCTGTGAGTGCACGCTGTGGTGAGTGCACGCTGTGGTGAGCGCACGCTGTGGTGAGTGCTCGCTGTGAGTGCACGCTGAGAGTGCGCGCTGTGAGTGCACGCTGTGAGTGCACGCTGTGAGTGCACGCTCTGAGTGCACTCTGTGAGTGCACGCTGCGAGTGCACGCTGTGAGTGCACGCTGTGAGCGCACGCTGTGAGCGCACGCTGCGCGCCACCTGGTGAGAAAGACCGTGAGCTCACGCTGTGAGTTCACGCTGTGGGCCCGACGGGATTTCGAATTGCCTACGCGTTGGATTTCCCCGCGCGGTCGATTTCCTCTGGTTTGTGTGTGTGGGTGTGTGTGTTTGCGTGTGGTGGCGGTGGTGGGAGTGGTGGTGGCTGTGATTGTGGTGGTGGTGGCGTTGGTGGTGGCGGTATCATTGGCGGTGGTGGTGGTTGTGGTGGTGGGGTGATGGTATGTGTGTGTGTGTGCGTGTGTGTGTGTGTGTGTGTGCGTGTGTGTCGGGTGTTGTGCGGAGTGCGGCGCTCGGTGTGCGGTGGGCGGTGTGTTGTGTATGGTGTGTGGTGTGTGGCGTGTGGCGTGTGGCGTGTGGCGTGTGGCGTGTGTTGTGTTGTGTGTCGTGTGTTGCGTGTGGTGCATTGCGTGAGGTGTGTGCCATGTGGTGTTTTGCGTGTGGTGTGTTGCGTGAAGTGTGTATGTGTGTGGTGTGTGGCGTGTGGCATGTGGTGGGTTGACGCCACACGCAACGCCACCACGCACATAAACGCACGCGCACACACATACACACACCACAGAGGAAATCGACCGCGCGGAA